GGCCCTGCCTTAGAACTAGGCCTGGGGGGGGGTCTAAAAAAGTAAATCTCGGAAGTAGCAACTTCTACTGGCAAAGGACACACATTGATTTGTATAAGTGCATTCTTTTACAAAATATTTATAAACTACTAAGTGATGTCAGACTATAATATACAGTAAATAAAAGCGATAATGTCCTGGGGTGAATTTCCCGAAGCCTCCGTAACGCTACGTCATTTGACATAGACTTACGAACGACGTAGCGTTCATATAAAAGGATGCTTCGGGAAATATACCCCAGAACAATACAATACTGTAGTACGGAGAAAATCCGGTAATTGAAGCAATAACCTACAGGCAAAAGCCACCGTAATACTGTTTTTGGACCTCTCCTTGGAACATACCATTTGCTTACGAGGCTTTTTTTGACTCCTTATTCGAATTTTCCTGTCCACCTTAAATGCTGCGCAGCTGAATGCAATGACGCGATTGCGCCTGTAGGGGGGATCATTTACCTTCAGAACTTAATTTGGCTCTATATTCATATTAATTTAACACGCTTCTGCCGACTTGTTATGGGAGGTATTTTCTGCAAAAAACAAAAATGAAAATGATAAAGTGAAAATACAATCTCCGCTTCGCCTTTTAGTTTTCAAAGTCTATGCGCAAAACCCTGCCAAAATTAAAAATAAACTGAGGTAGCACCATTTGCATTATAATTTTCCACTCATGCATGAGTCGTTTGTGAAAAAAATAAAAATAAAATTAAAAAGCTTATTTGTCTTTTCATTTTCTAACTTGACTTTTCATTTTCTGCTTTTTCATTTTCAAGTTCACAACATGCAAATATATGTTAATTGGAGCGGGCAGTGGGCGGGGCCATGGATCACAGCTGCGTTTTCTTGGTGCGTTTACGGATTCCGTTGCCATTCTGTTCCTTGCGCACGGTCGCCCATGTCACCCGAAGTAATGGCAAAGTCACACGCGGATGGTGAAGAGGAGGCTACCTTTGCTGCTAGATGAAATTAGTCAAGTTGAAATGTATCCCTGAATATTCAAATTTGTAACAACTGTTTTGATTCTGTCCCAGTCCACCACCTGAAAACCCTGTCCCACTGGTTTTCAATTAATAGCCACGCCCTACCAGGTGTGATTGAGCTCCTAATCAGTCAGACTATTTTCAGGTGCCTTATATGTCTGTTTGGTGTAAGATCTTCTCAGTTTCTGAGAGTTTGAGCTTTTAGACTCATATCTTCTTCTGGTCCCTGATTCTGTTCCCCATTCTGATTCTTGTTTGCACCTTGACTGACCCTCAGCTGTCTCATTGATCTCCAAATTTCCTTTTGATTTAGATTCTGTCTCCTTCTGCTGGTTTTTCACCTGCTCAGTACAAAGTTCCCTTTAAAACTTCAGCCTACCTCTGCATCTGAATCCTCATTTTCTCTGCTGCCCATCACTGGTCCCGCCTGGGAAATTAGTGTATACTTTGTAATGAGTGTTGAAATAAGACTCTCCTCTGTGTTGATCATATCCTTGATTAGTAGTACAGTGGGGTAGAATGGATAACTCAAATGGACCAGGAACAAGAGAAACTCAGCCACGAAGTAGGAGATCACATAAAGTAATAGAGTGATGTCATTGAATGCAGCATGTGCAATGCCAAGAATCAGATGCAGTGGTGTAAAGCACACTGACACTGGACTCTGGAGCAGTGGAAACGTGTTCTGTGGAATGACGGATCACACTTCACTGTCTGGCAGACTGATGGATGAGTCTGGGTTTGGCAGATGCCAGGAGAATATTACCTGCCTGACTGCATTGTGCCAACTGTAAACTTTGGTGGAGGAGGGATAATGGTATAGGGTTGTTTTTCAGGGGTTGGCCTAAGCCCCTTCGTTCCAGTGAAGGGAACTCTTAATGCTTCAGCATACCAAGACATTTTGGACAATTCTATGCTTCCAACTTTGTGGGAACGGTTTGGGGAAGGCCCTTTTCTGTTCCAGCGTGACTGCGAGCAAGGTCCATAAAGACGTCATTGGGTCATTTTGGTGTGGAAGAACTTGCCTGGCCTGCACAGAGCCCTGACCTCAACCTCACTGAACATCTTTGAACTAGAGCAAAGACCAGACCTTCACGTCCAACATCAGTGCCTCAGCCCACAAATATGTTTCTGTAAGAATGGGGGAAAATTCCTATAGACACACTCCAAAATCATGAGGGAAGCCCTCCCAGAAGAATGGCAGCTGTTATAACTGAAAAGGGGAGGGGGGGGGGACTTCATATTGATGCCTATGGATGGGATGTTATAAAAATTCCTGTAGGTGTAATGGCCAGGTGTCCCAATATTTTTGTCCATATAGTGCATCTAATGCAGATGCTGCACTCCAGAGCTTTCTGTGAAAATCCTATATTTCTTGTTATAATCCTTTATGTCCTGATCTTGTATCTGTTCTTCTGACCAGATCACAGTTAAAGCTTGTGTCACTTCACTGGTCCACACAACCAAGCTGAAAACAGCCATAATAATAATAGATACTTTTATTGATCCCTGTGGGGAAGTTGTCTTTACACCTCCCTCAACTTGCTCTTTGTAGAGTAAGCTGTCTGCGAAGGGCAGCCACTTGTTGGGAGATTAAGGGCCTTGCTCAAGGAGCCAGAGACGTGCTGAGGCTGGGTTTGAACAGGCAGCCTTCAGCTTACAGACATACAGACTTAGCCCACTGATCCACACATAACATCACCACCTATTGTAGTAGGGTCTGACATATTTTGGTCAATAAATCAATTCCCCTCCTGTGGATGTATACTGGGACAAGGACAGTATTCCAATTAAATAGCGTAGTCGAGCTTTAACCGTAACTCGATTTAGCTGTGCATGTAAACGTGTTTGTACCATAGCTTGCACCTAGTGCTATGAAATGCACTTCCTTCTTTCAGGTGGCTGCCCAAGAGAAGCAGCATTCTCTGTTTAAGGTAGTCCTTGTATTTATCTGTAAACTGCATGATGCAAACCTCATGAAAAAATTCCCTGACTGTCAGACCTCTTCTATAGCTGACACATACTGCTGGTTGGGATTCAGACTATTAAGAATAATAGTCTGCTTGTGTTGTGTGTAGCCCAAGTTGGAAATTATACTTTACTTACTTCAAAGGTAGAGTCACTTTCTTGCAGTGTTTCCCTTATTTTGTTCATCCCCTGTATGAAAATCAACTTCAACTCAATACACTTCAATGTACATTCATGTATTCTTTAGATATCACATATTTTTCTTCTACCTCTGATACTTTCATTTCTAATCATGGCCTTTTCTATAACTGCACACATCCATGTCAACATCCTCATTTCCTCCACATGCAGCTTCTCTTCCTACGCTACCTTCACCACCCATGTCTCTGCTCCGTACCTCATTGCTCACCTCTAACTTATAAACCTTGCCTCTAGGGCTGTGACTATTACTCAATTATTAAAAAGCATTGATTAAAATTTTACTTCTCGATTATTAGGCAATATGGCGGAAGGGAGATGGCTGATAGAGGATGAAAATGAAAATAAAGAGCAAAACCATCAGCTATGTGGAAGCACAAGTTGTTTGTAAAGCATAACTGAAACATCACCACAGCACAACGGCAATGCAAATACATCTCAAAGACATTCAGGCTTCACAGACTCACCCAATAAGGCGAGGTTAGCCATAGATGTGCCATTTATTACCCTAACCGGTCTTTGTCATCACTTTGACTGTATATCATTCTGCTAAACTTAATTCCTAAAATTCCTCTAAGGCAAAGTAATTGCTGTCAAAACAAAGGTTAGTGCTGTTGCTTAGCCACATCATCTTACACAATACGGTACATATGAACCATATATTACATTTTTTGTGAACATATTCTGTGTTTTGAGAGGATTGAACAATAATTTAAGTTTTTGCAATATTTAAAGAGTTGAAAATTAACTATATAACCAAATAGAACTTATCTGCCAAGAAAGTCTGTCAGATAAGTTGGTGGTATTGCTGTTGGTTGTGCAAACAGATACAAAGCAGTGTCGACAAAATCCTTTTGGAGGGAGAAGAGGGACGATCCATGGAGCAGCTCACAACAAACAGGGTTTATTAACAAAGCAGAACACAGAGGGGGAACCAGAAAATAAAGGGAACACGAGGGGTCAAAAGCAAAAAAAAAAAAAGAATTACCTAAAAAGTAACCACAAAGTAACACCAGGGAACAGCACAGGACTGGTGTCATGACCTGCTCGTTCGATCCTCCTGTGTGCTACGCCCCCCTCGTTACCTCGTGTTAATTCCCGATTGTGATCACCTGTTGCCTGTTACTTCCTGCTTGTCTTGTGTATTTAGTCCGCATTCAGGTCAGTTTCCCCAGGTCTGTCATTGACGGTGTTCGCTGTGAGCTCCCCTGTCTGCCTTGTTACCCAGAATAAATCCTGTTCACTCGTATTCACAGCTCTATTGCTTGTTTGCCAGATTGCCCGGACTCGCGATATAACAACTGGGAACCAACCACAGCCTCAAACACACAATAACAACTACAGTGACTGAGTGAGGAACAGGGCAAAGGCAGGTACTTAAATACAGGTAACAAGGGCTAACAAGGGGCAGGTGTGAACTATTACAGCTAGAGGGGTCAAGGAGTAGGTGAGGTCAATTAACAGTGGATCAAAACACCAGTCAAACAGATCATAGGCAAGGCACAGTCAGGGTAATCATAAAAAAGACATAAATTAACTATATAAACTACAAGGGATAACATAGAATTAAAATATGACACAAGGCCTCAGGCCAGCCTCAGACTCATAACAGGAGGGGGTGTCAGTCTCTGAGCCATACACTCAACTCACTGAGTTACATGGCAGCATGGGGAGCAAGGAAACACTCCAGGGAACGACAAGCGGGTTGGACAACAAGAACGGAGGGTGGGGATGGTAACTATCCCAGGCAGGGAATGTTTTGGACAGTATTTATTTGCTTTGCCATTGTCATTGGTTTTGCAGGCTAAGATCAGTAAGTGTTGAAATATTTCAGCTATTGGGCGTTTATGTAGGCTATATTTGCTTTTCCTTCTAAAATCCGGAAATTTTGGTTCAGTCTGTGTACCTGCCAGGAGAAGCACGGACGCTCTCACTTAAGACGCATCTTTAGATACCATTAATTTACATTCTTGTTATTCTATCTTCAGAAGACCATATTCGTAAGTAATATTAAAATGTTCGTGACCATTATAGTTTGTGCTAGTAATGTAAATTTGTACAGAAATGATGTACGAAACAGGCTAGCAGCTAATTACTGTTAGCTTGTATTTTTCTATTTTCCAATCTAAATGTGCTACGAATTTGTGGAAGTAATTACATAGAGTATGTGCGCATTCTGGAATTAATGTGACTTTTATTTTGATCTATTACAGTTTTACAGTTTCTACAGCAAAAAGCTCGGTTCAACGAAATGACAGCCTTGACGATTTTTTTGAAGAGTGTTTAGCTTCTGGATATCTGTCCATATAACAGAGAGAGCAGAATAATAACAAAAAAAAAAATCAAATCTACTTAATTCCGATTCTTAGTTAATATATTTTATAGTTGTGAAATTATAAACCTCATTTTGAAGGCATGTTAATTTTATTGCACTTGAGACTATTTACTGGACTCAAAGTGGCTAGATAAACTAATACCACTGACTGAGTCCTCGTCTTGCTATATCAAATTAGACTAGTATGAACACATGACATTATTTGAATAAGTATCATTATATATAAGGCTTTTTAAATGGATTTGGCTTTCTTAGTGTTTGGAAATACACTGTTTTCTCACAAGGCACAACGTTAAACTAAAAAATTCTTAATCTGGAGTATCCTGCTCGATCACCTATCACGTTTCCTTCTGGGATGTACATTGTGAACGTCATTCAAAATGCCAGACCAGGGTATTAAAATTTACAGGAGAAAATACTTGAGGACTTCAGGTTAAAGCTGGATTCATGTGCCATTAAAAATGCAACAAAACAAATATTTTATTATCCACCAAATGTTAATGTGTCAAGTTTTACTTACCCAAAACACAAGAACAATTTACTGCAGATGAAAATATTTTTTTCATTGCATAAAACAGAAATATAAACATCCATTGAGTCATACTTTAATATATTTGCTTGGAACCCCATTTAAATACTTAATTACTAAATTAATAGAAAACTACAACATTCACCAACACAAGCACACAAAACATTCCGACTGTAGTTATATGTAGCCATATGCATGTTAATATACAGTATATATGAATTAAATTTAAAACTGCGTTGCATTGGTACTACCTGATCATTGCATGTCGTTAATATGAAGTTTACTTTTATAAATATAAATACCAAAGAGAATCCCGTTAGCATTTCTATCCAACGGATCTAGGCCTTTTCTTCATAGGAAAAAGTGTGTTGTTTGTTGATACCGCCTGGCCTCACGCTTCTCCGGCTTCCGTTCTGGCTCTGTGTACACCCGCACATGGTGCTGTGTCTAACGCATTTACGGTTTGGGGAGTGTTGTACACTCAATGCTTTGCATATGTAGAAATTTCAACAGAGCCTTAAAGATTCTTATTGTTCACAAGTAGCTATGAAAAAGTCAGAGTCAAGTCAGAGTGAAAAATAACGAGTTGCAAGTCGAGTCGGAAGTCAATTTAAGAGCAATTATAGTGTGATTCGAATCCAAGTCGCAAACTCAAATCCCCGTCTCTGGTCGAGACACGTTCAACTTTACCAATTCGGACCTCTAAAGGATCACACGAAAAAAACCTACCCGCAACTTGACATAAAAATACGGAACACAACAAAACAAAGCAGACCTACTAAAACTTGTACAGACTGAGCCGCGTCCTGGCATGCTGATGCCTATGAATTGCTCTCAGTCTCACAGTACCTCTCGAAAGAGTTTGATGATCGAAAGCTGTTTGGTGTGAATTTTTTGTGCTTTATCTACAGTAGATTTAATGAAACAGTACTCATGGTCACTAAGAAAGTGAGTAGTGATAACAGAAAACCAAAGAGGACAGTAGTGAGAGTAACTGTAGAACTTATGAAGGAAATTATAGTGAGACTTGAAGGTGGTGCATGTGTGTCTGTTTTTGCTTCGGAGTATGGGATTGTCATTTATTTCATGTTTATCACTTGTTAGTGTGCTTTTTCAAGTGTGTATTTGTTTCATATTGATTGTTAATGCTTTTTTATCATTAGGTAGGTAGATTAGTTTAACTAGGCAATAGTTTGGGAGTCTGGAACACATTAAATTCATTTACATTATTTGTTATGGGCCAATTCGACTTTAAACCAATTCGCAACTCGACCAGCCATCTGAAACGAATTATGATCGTGTTCAAAGGTACCACTGTATTTCAAGGATGTTTATGTCTCATCAGGGTGTTACCATGAACAATCAGAAAGATCACACCAGACCTGATGAGGGAGGGAACGGGGGCAGTAATGAATGGAAATTTTACAACCATGGTCTGCAGCTCTTCTCTGCTATCATTGGTAAGTATAATGAATATTCATCACATTTAGCTGTCCTGCCATGCAGAATTTTTTATTTTTCTATACTGAGTAAATACCCATAGTACGTGACTTAGGTTGATTTGGCAAAACTGCACGACAGTTTAAAAAATAATTTAAGGATTTCTACAGATGCCCTAAAGGGCAAAACACGCCAGCAAATGGGAAAACCTGCCAACAAATACAAAAACACTACAACATTCGCGGCACTGAAAAAGGAAAGGGTATGTACCCATTGGTCATCACATGCTTGTTACTGATTGGACAGAGAGTCTGTCAATCAGCGTCCCATTTTCTGAGAGGGATGGACATCTTTAAGTACCAGCAGTGAGTAGTAGAGCTGTAATATCCGGTTCCTTTTTAGGATTCGGCTCCCTCTGTGTCACTCACTAAACTGATCCGGGTATGCGACTCACTTGTTTGTTTTCCATAAAAGAAAGTATACACTCACCTAAAGGATTATTGGGAACACCTGTTCAATTTCTCATTAATGCAATTATCTAATCAACCAATCACATGGCAGTTGCTTCAATGCATTTAGAGGTGTGGTCCTGGTC